CGGCGGCGTCGCTGACGGCGGCGAGCCGGCGACGTAGCCCTCCAGCCTCCTCCTCCTCCACCACCTGACGCGACGGCACGGAGAGGGAGAGCCCCCCCCCCGGGGGGGGGAAATTCAATTCAACGGGAGACGTCACGTCGAAACTTTTCTTTCTTTTTTTTTTTCGTTTTTCCATTCCATCTCCGACGGACGCTTTCTCCATCGCCCAATAAGAAAAGCGCAAGAAAACAGAAACTGAATTATTATCTTTTTCTGGGCTCGGGAGTACATGATGAAACCGAGAGGAATTGATGATTAAAAAGGAGAATAAAATGTTTCTTGTTGTGATTATCCATCGTCTCCGTGGGGGAGATAACGAGGGCCATGAAAATTTCCGGCGAAAAGTGACCGGAGGAGGAGGTAACGGAGGTGGGGAGGAGGATAGGCCGGCGGATAAGCGTAGGGGAAAAGGACCCAATCGGGGCGTACCGCATCGACACGTATGTCGCCTTTTTTTTTCTGACGTGGCAGGAGAACTAAACAGTATTTACTCCTTTTACACTATAAACTCTACTGGTTGAGACATGCAAGAAAAATACTAGCACACGAGCAGACGGGCTCATATTGGAGTAGATTTAAATTTTTCATCCAGAGCTACAACTGCGGTGGATGTTAATTAGGAGTAGGAGATATACTGGTAAGGTTAATAAACGATTTGTGACATACTCCCTCCGTTTCAGAGCGTATGTCATTCTAGTATTTTCCACATTCATATTAATGTTAATGAATCTAGACATATACCTCCTCCCTTTCACAATGTAAGTCATTTTAGCATTTTTCATATTCATATTGATGTTAATGAATCTAGATAGATTCATATTGATGTTAATGAATCTAGATATATGAATATGGGAAATGCTATAATGACTCATATTGTGAAACGGAGAAAATACTAATTAATTTATGTTTACGATTATTTATACCTTCTACTATTTGTACGATCTTTGAATCTTACACACACTCAACGTTTAAATCATGATTATTATAGACGCGTTTACAATAATAATTGAGTGAGATTCATCGTTAATAGTATCTCTGTTTCTTTAGTGTGTGTTAAAGGGTACTCTTTGAAGGTGTGAGTATACTGTGCGTATCCTCTATGTTATCTGAATCATTCTTAAACATGCTTAATCCTTAATAGGTGACATAGTTTTTACAATGGAATAGCAAAAATCCTTCCATCGGGTACCCGATGGGGAGTAAAAATCGGGCGCCCCCACGCCGCGCCTCCCACGCGCACGCACCGCCCCCACCACATGTCCCCACTACGCGCGCTCCGTTGCAACAACCGCCTGGATAAAACGGAAGCGTTCTATTAGGGGGATTCGTTTCTTTTTTTTTTTCCATCAACAATGTTTTAGTCAGTGTACTTGATGTTTCACTATGTGTGGATGAAATGCTTCAATGGATTTTTTTATAATGTTTTAATAATTTCATCTTGATAGATACGTGGTTGTTGATGTACATGGGGTTTAAGTGTTACAATGACTTTAATTCGTTTGTTGCATACGTTGAACCAAATTGTTTCATCTAACGATATGACTGTGCTTCACTTTTTTTTAAGAACTGAAACATTCTTTCGCTATTTGCTGACACAGTATTTTTATATAGAGTGAAACAGTGTCCGGTTTTTTTGAAACCGTTGTTTCATACGTTGTACCAAAATATTTTATGAGGTGATTTGGTTGTGTTTCAGCTTTTTATAAGATTGAAACATTTTCGATCTACCTAGTGAAATATTTCCGATCTACTTTGTGAAACATTTCCGATTTTTGCAAAAATAAATCGGACGTCCGATTTGTAGGCGCCTCCATATAACGGTGTGGCCCAACTTCATGAATTTTTCAATGGTATATATGAATTTGAAGACAAGTGAGATGAGCCAACGAAAAGAAAAAATATCTTCCATTTTACTATCTTTTCTTTTCTTGACCGTCATGACTCCTTTGCTTTCCTGATCATTATGCCCTACATTTTTATTTAGCAGTATTATCTAGTGTTGGATTCAGAAACAACTATAGGATTGTTCAGCAATGCTATCCAATGGTTACACATAGAGATGATAAAAAGGGCGATGCCACTTATCAACCTCCTTATAGTTGTGATACAATGGGTCCTATCCATGACATCCCTAGGTTATATGAGAAAACCACCAATTCGTTTTTAAGCCGTCTGATGACATGATGGGTAAACACTACTTATATTTTTTAACCATTAATATGTGGTTGGTGTTCAAGTCTATATTGAATCATTTCAAGCGATAATGTAAGGCCCTGTTTAGTTCCAGGGGTGAAAGTTTTTGGCGTGTCACATCGGATATATGGACACGCATTTGAAGTATTAAACATAGTCTAATAACAAAACAAATTACAGAATCCATCTGTAAAACTGTGAGATGAATTTATTTAGCCTAATTAATATGTCATTAGCAAATATTTACTGTAGCACCACATTATCAAATCATGATGCAATTAGGCTTAAAAAATTTGTCTCGCAAATTACACACAATCTATGTAATTAGTTTTTTGTCTACATTTAATGCTCCATGCATGTGTCCAAACATTCGATGTGACATGGTGAAAAGTTTTTGCGTGGGAAATAAACAGGACCTAAGATTATGCCTGGTATGAATGAGTTTTTCCCTATCATGTGTACAAAATACTGCCTCTTCAGAAAGTTGATGAAGCTCTAAATAGTGCCTAATTTGTGCATGTAGCTGCACCTTCTTGTGTTTAAATCCTAATGCTCATGTTTATTACTCATTTCTTGATTAGCATTTCACTATGCATTTCAAAAATGCTTTCATGAGGCTAATTAAGAGAAAAAAGTTATAACTTTACTATATGCATACGAACACAATTTAGTTCAGTTCATTTTCTATCGATAAAGCGTGGCATACAATACAAATGAATAATCACCTAATTGTTTTTCCTTCCATTTCATATTATAAGTCATTTGGATATTTTCTCTAGTTAAAATTATTTAAGTTTAATCAATTAATATAGAAAATATAGTAGCATTTTAGAAAACATATTACCAAAATATATTCAATGTTAGATTCAATTAAACTAATTTGGTATTTTAGATGTTGTTAATTTATTTTATAAACTTGATCAAACCTTAAAAAGTCTAATCGGGAAAAAAAATCAAAGCGACTTATAATATAAAATGGAAGGAGCACATTTTAAATAACAACAACTACATATTTATACATAGCACATCAAAATAGAGAAGTCGTGGACACATGAGGCAGCATAGGAAGAGCGCTGAGCGGACGAATGTATTGAGATGGTTTGATTTAGCTTAGAGAGTGTTATAAAGGATTGATGGATTTTTTGAGTGTTATAAAGGATTGATGGATTTTTTAAAGATGAAACTGAGTTAATAATAGCTATTTGAGAGCATAATTAAATACTAGAAAGTTAAAAAGTTTCTCAAAGAAATACCGATAAATAAGGTTATCTGTAAAAATCATACCGTTCACTAGCTTGAGAAGCATATTCGCTATAATCCATCCTCCGATTATTGCACATATGAAATAAAATAGGGAAAATTGGAACCATGCCATTATAATTTTGCAAAATTTGAGATATGTCATCCTGACCCACATGTCATTGATTCATATGGGTTCTACGTGTCATTGAGATACCGATGCCATATCTCAAACTTTGCAAAATTACAATGGCATGGTTACAATTTACCCAATAAAATAATAGCATAACCATAATGAATTTAATGCTTAAGATAGGACATGGAAGGATATTAGGCATTGGATGTAGTAGATCCGATGTATCACAGCCTTCAGTGTAAATTTGCTGCGTACACTTAAAAAAAAGAGAGTAAATGCTCCTTTTATTTTACAATATATGTATGTATAAGTTTATATGATAATAAAAGGCAGCAAGCATAGGTCTCAAACAAGCAGCAGTGAACTGAGCTTTTCAATAACAGTAGTTTGATAATGCTTATCCCCTCCAAATCCTTTTTATCCAAAGCTCAGCAAGATTAGCAATATTTACTCCCTACCAAATTAGACTGGATAATGCACGGTCGGTGTGACAGTGTGGTAACGTTTACAAGGAGTGGGAGTTAGTTCCATTTTTGCAGATGATGAGGCCGAATTGTACAGCAGGGAGTAACAAAAAAAACTCACCTCATTTTTTTTTGACGACGGTGTGCATGGCCGGAGGAAGACAAAGGCCACGAACTTCTTATCTAAAATTTATCTGGCCCCTGCTGCTTTGCTGCCTTGGAGAACCTCCGGAATCTTAGCACCTTTTCGAGCATCGTCCCTGAACATTCTCCTCCACGAACACCACGCTAGCCTCTCAAACCCCTCCAAAATTAACAAAACTTTATCGAAAAATAGGAGAGAAAGAAAAAAAAAGATAAAAAGTGGGAGAAAAACCCAAATTAAACCACAGGACAGACAGAGACAGACAGCGCAGGGAGAGGGTGGGTGATTAACCCCTCCTAATTTGCACGTTTTCTCCCTAACTAAAAACGCCCCCGCTAATAATCCTCCTCCCCTAAAACCCTCCACCCCAACCCACCGATTAATAAGGATCACTCCTCGCGTTCGTGGTCACGAGGGACTCCCGGGATCCGACGGTGGAGGAGGGACTCCCCGCCTGGAGCACCGACGGCTCGGATCATCGACACGTGGCGCCGAGCCGTGGGCTCGCGGAAAGCTCTCGCGTCTGTAATAGGGGGGAGGAAGAGCGAACCGCTACCCGCTCCCTTCGAGGGGGAGGCGCCCGCGCCGTCGGATCGGGGACACGTGGACGGCTGTGAGGGGGTCGGAACCGGTCGTTGGACGCGAGAGGGGTGCGACCGGGTGGGGCCGGTGGCCGCGTGGGGGTTTAACCGGGGGCAGCCGGTGGCTGGGGCGCGTGTGGGTGGTGGTGGTGTGGGAAGCGGGGGTTGGGGGGGTTTAAGAAGGGAGGGTTGGTTTTGAGGGGTTTTGGCCAAACCACACAAGAGAAAAACCAACAGGAGAAGAGAAGAGGAGAGGAGGAAAAGGGAAATAAATAAAAAGGAGAGGAGAGGAGAAGGGAAGAGAAGCGAAGCGAGGCCTTCTTCGCCGTGGGAATAATTTTGCGCTCGGGGGATCTTGATCTGAGGAGGAGGGGGTTGTTGGTGTTGGGGAGAGGGAGCGATCGGAGCCAGGGCGCGGATCGCAGGCGGTGAGGTGAGTCTGGGGACTCTGGGGGTGGAGAATCCGGGGAATTCTCGCTGATTTTGCCGATATGGTGCTGGGTCTCGCTGTTGAGCTTTGTTCTGGCGGTTTTTGGGTCCAATTCTGTCCGAATTTTGGTTGGTTTGCTCTGGAGGCCTGGTTGGGGGGCTGAATTCGCTTCATTTTTGGAGGATTTTCGCGCATTTCGTGGTTGCTTCTTCGGATTTGCGTCGCTTTGGAGGGGTTTTGGCGTCGAATTGGGTGAATCGGGCGCTGAGATCGGATCTGGCGCTGCAGAGGTCCGCCAATTCTTGGTTTGTTCTGCGCCTGTGGGGTTTGTACTTCTTCCCCCCCCCCCCCCCCCTCTCTCTTTTTTTTTTAACCGACGGGCTCGCTTTCCTTTTGGCAGTTGCTTAATCCTCACGGATTCCGATGCATGTGAGTTTTTTAAAGCCTTTTTCCCCTTCTCTCTTTGATCGCTTGGCGTGCTGGTTTACCTGGCGAATTTATTTTTCTTTGGATGCATTTAATACGGCTGGGGGAATCCATTTCCTCCCCCAAAACCCAATTCCTTTTCTTCTCTTAATTTGGATCACGGGTGGTGTACGAATTCTTCCCGTTTGCTTCGTTCTTCAGGTTTTGATTTGATGCAATTAATTCGCTCTTTTGATATGCTTTCGAGCGCTGGTGATTTGAAATTCTAATTCGTTTCGGGCGCCCAAGCCCGGATCTCCAGTCCAGGGTTTTTTGGGATTCTCAATTTTTTTGCTAATTAATTGCACTGTTAACCACGATCGTTCTCTGTTTAATTAATCTCGGAAGGGTTTATCCGAGATTTATCCCAAAGTTCTTCTTGCGGAGATCCCAATGAAATGATTTCCTTCCTTCTTTGTACCAACTGGTTTCCTTCTTGCCAATTGCTGATGTGGTTTTCAACAATTCCTGCGCAGATTTGTGTTCCGGGACAAGCCATGAGCAGCGCAACCACCGGTTGTTAACCAAGCAACCCCCCTGTAAATTGAAAGCAACCGAAGCGAAGCGCAAAGAAATGGTTTTTCAGAAGAGGTCATCGCTGGAGATGGAGTCGGGAGGCGGAAGCCACGTCGCGGAGATGCCGCGCGTCCCCAAGTCCGCGAGGGTATGGGGCTTCTCACCGGCATCATCAAAATTCGGCACCTTGCTGCTCCGGTTGGCGAGCCCTGACAGCGATGGCGTTTCTTCTTGTTTGGTGAAATTGTGCAGGGCAAGAGATCAATTCGGAAGAAGGAGAGCCAGGGTCAGGTGATGTGCGCGTTCGACCTGCTCGCGACTGTGGCCGGAAAGCTGCTTGATGAGGGGGAGGGTTCTCTGGGGAACGCGAGCTCAGGCACCCCGGCCGTGGACGCGTCGCCCAAGGATGTCCGCGTGAAGCAGGAGCAGTGCGATGAGGAGGCGAAGCATTTCAAGAATGAGGTGATGGATCAGGATAGCTGCAATGAGAGTGCATTGGTCTCCCACATTGCGTTTCAGCGGCCGGTGAATCACCATGGGCGGAAGGGGGAAGATCCGGAGGGGAGTCATGCTGTGATTGAGGACCCCAAGGCCAAGTCCGAGGCACTGGACAAGGAATCCTCAATGATAAGCTGCACCAAGGCTGAATTGGGTTGTAATTTTGCAGCGATCGCTGATAGGTGGTCGCCTGAATCCGTGGAGTCAGGGGCCTTCACTGGGGATGCAGCTGCAATTGCGATGCCGGCTACCACATCAGGCTTCCACAAGAATGCTCCAGATATGTATAATCTGCTCGATCCAATGGATGTGGATGTAAAGCCGCCTCCTTTGGTCAGCTCTGACAGCACCGGCGAAATGCCGTTGTATGGCAATAAAATTCGCCGATCGACCTCTTTCCCGAGGGTCCCCAAGGGAGGGGCGGGGTTTACTGTAGATAGAGATGAAGATGATGATGATAAATCTTCCGGGTGCACTCATCCGAGCACCGCTACTAACAGGGGTTTCAGGCCCAATTGTACAGCTGGTCATAGTAGGGTAAAGAAGTTGCTCGCCTGTAAGCACAGGAAAGTTGCTCCAGCCAGGATGCACAAAGGAGATCTTTCCTATAGTGGTGAGCATTGTGAGATCCCATTCACCTTTTCCTTTTTTGAGGAGCACTGCATTGATGGCACTCATATTCAAACCTGCTTACTCTATTCTTACTTGAGTTCGTTGATCCTGCTAGATGTTGACCGGAAGCCTTCTTTCCGCAACAAGAAAATGTATTATACACGACAAAGGACACAAAGGAGCACATTCAAGCGGAGGAAGATGTTTGATCGTCATTCAGCCCAAGTTTCTGAAGAATATGCAAAGGCAAACACAAAGTTTGCTGCAAGAGACTCGCACGCGGTTTCTTTGGAAGGTTTGTTTTGCTTGAACCTGTGAATTCTTCTTCGTGCAGCTGCCCCATCTTTTAACTTACTGGGGCAATATTTCTTCTCCAGCAAACAAGGGGACCAATTCAACAGCATTCCAGAAATCACAAGAGTCAAGTGACTGCCACGGTAAGTTTGGCCCCATGAAAAATGTTTTTGATATTGTAATTATTTTGGTTTTATGGCCATAGTCTAAGACTGCCTGTTTTTCTCCTTGCAGTAAAACTTAGGATCAAGTCTTTCAAGGTGCCTGAACTTCTAATTGAGATCCCAGAAACTGCGACTGTTGGTTCACTGAAGGTACGGAAAAAGAGACATTTTGCTCCTGTTTTCTCATTAATTGATCAGCACAAAGAGATGTTGCAAGAATTTCACCTTTTGTCGATGATGTTTCCGTGTTTTAATATGTATTTATAATGCAGAAAACTGTTCTGGAGGCAGTAAATGCCATACTTGGAGGTGGTCTGCGTGTCGGTGTGCTCCATCATGGGAAGAAAGTCAGAGATGATAATAAAACCTTAATGCAGGCTGGGATTTCTCATGATGAGGTACTGGACAACCTGGGTTTTTCTCTTGAACCCAATTGTGCACCGCATCCGTCACAACTCTCACCTCCCGAAGATAATGAATTCATGGAAACTGTTGATACTACTGAACCCCTAGCTAGGTAATGAATATTCTCCATAAGAAATCATTGTAAAACTCGAATGTGTGTAGCCTAACCCAGCCTTATGTATTTCGCTGGATACAGGATTGCACCTGCTGACTCATCTTCCAAGCATGGTGAAGTTGATGCTTCACAGGAGCTTGCATTGGCACCCTTATCAGCAAACTACCAAGGGAGTGATCATGACTTTGTGCACTCTCCTGGGGGCATGTCTTCACCTGATAAGGCATCCACAAACTCGCGAGCTATTGTTCCAGTTACTCCTGCAGATTCCAATGCTGGGGCTATAGTTCCAGCAAACAAAGCAAAGAGGTCACCTGAACAAGGGCAACGCCGAATCAGGCGTCCGTTCTCTGTTGCCGAAGTGGAAGCCCTTGTGCTTGCAGTTGAAAAGCTTGGAACCGGAAGGTATGCTGCTTACTTCACTCATTTGACCTTACATTTTCATAATTTCTGTTTCTTACTGTATTTCTGTTTCAGATGGCGAGATGTCAAACTTCGGGCCTTTGATAATGCAAAGCACCGGACTTACGTTGATCTTAAGGTAATTATTATTGTGATACCTGTCAAATGCCTTACAAGCTTTTTCATGTCTAGTTAAAGCAAATACCTTGGCATTGCACATGTTTGCAAAATATGATCATCACTTTCCTTTAAAGGTGGTCATACTTATCATTATTTCTGATCCATTTATCAATTCCCATGATTTTTCCTTCTGTTTGTGCCAAGCTTTTAGTTCTTGTCACAATTGACTTACATCTTGGGCTTTAGGCAAATTTTGTAGCGTGTTGCTAGGCTGATTTAACAAACTGTTCGGTGCTTCTGGGTTTTAGGTTCCTTACGCAGTATGGCAGTCTAACCGTACTGTTTTTGTGTTAGTAGCACATTTCAGTCAGGCTCTTGTTCTGGAAAACTTTTTGTCGTTATGATTCAGTTAGTCCTGTCCTCACGCATCAGCTTTGTTGTTTGGACGGGCCAAGTGGGTAGTAGTACCAGAATGGTTCACCTAGAAAATAAAAGCTACCTATTCTTGCACGTCAACTAACTCGGTCCTGGCTTTAGAAAAAGTCTCACCAAGGGATCAGATAACCTTTCCTTTACTAGAGTGGAAGCTTCTTGCTGCTTTGCATTTAGGCAAATTGACAGAAAATGCATGCGTTCTCTGGTCAAACTCAATGAAAGATTATTAAGTTTGAACTTGCATTTACTAACCGTGTCAAAATTGTCATGCCAACAGGACAAATGGAAGACGCTCGTGCACACGGCGAGCATCTCGCCCCAGCAGCGGCGTGGCGAGCCGGTGCCACAGGAGCTGCTCGACAGGGTCCTGGCGGCTCAGGCCTATTGGTCTCAGCAGCAAGCCAAGCTCCAGCCTAAGACGCCCCCGCTGGCTGAGGCTCTCCTGCTCACCTAATAACCTGATCTCAGCTAATGGTCTCTTAGGAAACCATTCCAGCTTTTGTATAAAGTCAGTCAGTCCATTCAAAGGAGGTTAAGGAAGATATTAGAAAAAAAGATATATATAAAAAGGTACAAGAAATATTGACCGATTTGTTGTAATATCTACTCACCAATTATTCTTTCAAGCCAGGGTTCTCTCTCCTTGTGAATTTAACCAAAGGTATGGGGTATTTCTTTGGCAACTTTGTACATGATGGTGATGGAGGAAGAAGATGATCCATGAACTGAGATCTGCAGTGACTACTAACTCACAATTTTTTTACAATTGTGGTTTAAAAGAGAAGAGATTAAAGCTTCAGATTCTTTTGTCAATTCAATTCATTCTTTTGTTAGGATGAGAATGGTGAAAAGATAAGGAGGGATGGATCATTGCTTCCCCTTTTTTTTTTCCTTTTTTTGTTATCCTAGGTGTACTATGTTTTCTTCACCAATCTTGTAGTTATCTTGGTCCCCTCAAAGTTGTACTTGATCATTATAACAAATATTAAAAAGAAATTGTTTATTCTCCTTCTTACCCCCCTTAAACTATGTCTCATGCATGTGATATTTTGTTATTATGACTAAAAATGTGTACTAAAACTCTGAAAGAGATCCTGCTTGGGATCAGAGCTTAGATGCTTGGCATTATTTATAGGTGCCCTGTTACAGTACTGCCACCAGAAGTTAAATTATTGGAGATTCTTATCCACTAACCTCAATCATAATAATCCATGTGCTGAAAGTTTACTGCTGCCAACAATGATTCTACATGAACTGTTTAATGGTAGTGCCAGTTCTTAATGCGTATACTGTTTGCCTGCATTATTGTTACTAAGGCTTTAAAACTTCTCCAACTAATATCTTACTAACTAACTCGTACCACTAAAAGTTGACTTGACTGCTGGTCGTATATGTTCACATAGTTATCTCATTTTGCCTAATTACAGTGACAAGTCAGATTTTCAGATATTTTAACAGTCCCAATCTGACCCTTGGTTTGGTTATTACAGCCTAAGAAATATCAACCTTCTAGTAAGACTGTAGAACAGCCATCTCCATCTTGCCTACATCTCTGTTTCGTATACCGGAAGTATACCGCGTTTACGTGCGATGATTGAAACGATCAAAAGCTTAGAATATTCCCATGTGTACATGGCGTGTATTAGGATTAGAAAACAAGCTAGTAGGCAAGAAGCCAAGGAAACGAAGGGAGTCGTAGTAGTAAGATAGGCAACTAACAAACAGGCTGGCTGTTGCTTGTAAGAAACCCTTGTGGCCTTATCATCAGGAGGAACACCGACACCTTGCCCCCATTGCACAATTGGACGCAAGCTACACAACACGAGAGACTCGCTGATTAAAACAAAATGCAGGAGTTAATTAAACCCCCTTTTTTTTTGTGGCCAGATGGATCACAATTAGTTGGGGATCAGATCGATCAGATCAGACCAGATCAGACAGTACTACTACTACCACCATTGTTGCGAGTGCTCTCCTACTCTGCACAACCTGGGCCCAGCTTCGTTGCAATCACTGCTATGATCGCAACAATGGGGAGGGCGATTGCTGTGGCTAGCTAGGCCGTGTGGTGACATTTTTTTTAATAATGGAATAAACAAAAAAAAACACTCGAATATTCTCACTTTCTCAAATCTCAGTGTAATTATTACTTTCTTTTTCTACTCTCGAAGCATTTATTCACCACTTTCAAAAATTCCAATATAATGACTCTTTAAAAATGAACTTGTTTTGAGATAAACAGAAGAAACTAAATATAAATTTATGCTGAGACGGAGGGAGTATCCCTCATGCATTGATGTGCCCATGTTTGTAATTATGCGTGTGCATACGCCTGCCATTATCTTGACACCAAAAGACGAAAACATATTTAAGCACATGCACATATATATTAATTTCTGAAGAGATGTATAAGTTTTTTTTTAATGCAAGAGTTGAGCCGTTGAGCCTAGACGGCATGTCATGTTCACTCCATGTGGCGCTCGCCGAATTTTAATACGCGAGACTACGATTTGGGGGCAAATTACGACGTCGGCCGATCGAACCGACGAGTTTGTTACGCTGGAATGGAACAGCAAACCCCCCCTCACATGAGCTGAGCTATGGAGTTGCTGGTTAGGCTAGTTGCAGCCAAGCTGTTCGGCCGGCTGGCCTGAATGCGTCTGAGATCATCTGCATCTGCATCTGCTTTGCTTTGTACTTGGGTTCACGCATGTGCTGTTTCTGGAGTACAAACATCCCGATTTGGCCCATGCGATTAGGTCGTTAGACCACGTTTGCAGAAATGGGGAGCTTTCTCCGATGTTAGATCCACGGAGGAATGAATGACACTGTTTCGATCCTACTGAATTCTTGCGTTTACAAAAGATATAGTAGAAAGGGTCAGAGATTTTCAGGCAAATATGCACTGGTTTGTGGTTATTGAATACTATCCCAATCCCAAACTGGACCTGCACCTTCTCTCTCTCACGTCAGATATGATCTCAGCAAATGATCCGACGCCGAAACGTACTGTTTGTCAAATTTTTTAAGCTCCCATTTCCTATTTCCTTTTTGTAATTAACCACGTAGGGCTTAGCTAGCTAGGAGGCGATATATATTTAGGTCAATTTGAGGAGAGAGAGAAGAAATAGTGGTTGGTGGCGGTGGTGGGTGACGATGGATGGCTACAGTTGAGTTTGCTTAGCGTTGCGATGTGTGTGGTCCACTGTTTGTCGCTTAAATTGATTAGCTTGCTTGGTGCGGATGATTGACATTTGAATCCGTCTCTTTGCGAGTGAGCAAAGGGTTTAGGGTATTCTTTAGCCGCCCATCAAGTTTTTGTGGGGGGAAAAAAGAAGCAAAACCCCAGCTTTGATTATTCTTTAATTCTTCTCGCTTATGATATCGTTGCCATGTGCTTCTCCGGTGTTTATTCCAAGGAAGCAAGCAATTCCCAAGCTTTGGATACGGTTAAAGCTTATATCAACGCATGGTCATTGTCGATCCGATTAATTACTGTTTCCCTTTCAAACTTAATTCCCCTTCTGCTGATGACAAGAGCACAGAATTAACTAAGGACATTCCTAGCTGCTATACATGAACTTTTCTTTAATCATTTCTTCGACACTGATCAAAGGAGGCATGAATAAATGAATTGGCATCAACTCATGCAGGCTTATGTACTCAAGGTGAAGAAGAACACGAACACGCAAACGATATATGTAACAATTGCCAGGCCGGCAAGTTTCACGCGCGAATAAACGCATGCTAGCTTCTGGTAAAGTCCGGAGTCCAAGTTTGCCAGGTAACTAAAGACACGTAGTACCAGCCGTCGGATCACGGGCTGAAGTGAAACGAACACGTGAAGAACAAGGACTCTCTATGGTCTTTTACAAACGGCTGTAACCTCCCCTCCCAGCCAATCCCAACGATTACCTGTTCATCGGGTTATCTATCTCATCTCGCCGCCGCCAGCCACAAGAAGGGGATTGATGAATTGATTAATGGACGATTCAAAGCTAGCCGTAAGAGACTAATTAGAGCAAGTTTCATACTATAGCCAATAATTAGCTTTAAATCATCTATATTAATTTAATATTTAATTCTTACAATAGTTATCTATAAATATATACTACATAATTAATGTATGGTCACATCTGTCGTACACATATATGATGTAGCCCGTGCTGCAGCTGACTACAAATCTGTAGCCCGCTGCTTTTATCTCTTCTCTTGTAGCTTGTTTATAGTCTGCTATTGTATCTGCTGTTATTATCTATCTGCTAAGTAGTAATTAACCGGACGCGCTGGCAACTGTGTCACTGTCAACACCAAACTGATCAGCGCTAGCTAAGCTAACATCTATGGAGATGGAAGCTTCTGCATGATGCTGCCGCTGGCCTTGGCCTAGTGTGCGTGTGGCGCGCGGTGATTGTGTGTGGGTCAGAACACGTACATGTGCTAAGCTGCTTTGACCGGGATGGATGCGCAGACGTTTTGGACTCGCCCACAACGCGGTTCTTCGTTTCGTTCTTCCCTCTTGCTCGCGCCGTCGCGCGTGCAGGTGTTGGTAGTACGGCACGAAAAGAAAGAGGGGGGATTGGAATTTTTGCCTGGACTGGCTCTGGATGCTTCATGCCGGCTGCTGTTTGCTGGAAAGATTTTGCCGGTGATATGGAATATGTTCGTGTTCGATCCTGATTCCTGCGTCACTGGGGTTCTTGTGGTGCCATAGGGCCAACAAAAAGTGTTGTTCTTTTTTTTTTCCTCTTCTCGTCTTCGTTAAGAGCTAGAGAATCATGGCTTTTCTGTACTTGCTGTTATGGGATTTATAGCCTAGTAGAGCTTGAATGAATAAGTTCTCTGCTTCGATGGTCGGTAGTCCTGAATTCGCCATCGTTTGCTCGGCAAATTTTCTGGTTTTTCATCAGAAATTCAGTACTTCGGTAGTTCGGTGGGAGTTGGAAACTTGGAATCACGAACGTCCGAACATCGTCCAGCAACGACCAAATGTGGGTTGAGCCTACTTCGGCCGTTTAGGCCAAATATGGGCCGCCATGTCCCGGCCTACCGGTCTAATCGGGGTGAAACTCAGCGATCCACCCCAACACGGCCCAAAACCCAGCGCTCCACGCGTAAGACGGCCCAATATTTCAAGGGAGGAAAAGCACAGGGGAATAAGTTCACTTTGTGTGTTCCTTATCTTTACGTCAAGTTTAATTGGCATATTACCATAAATCTTTACCCCCATCTTGGAAAAACCATCCATGTCAGGCCCCATGGCAATGTGGATGGATTATTTTATTGAGGTAGCATCCTAATCAATAAAAAGAGAATAAAAAGAATGTGGGACCTACATGTCAGCACCCAATTCTTTTATTCTCTCTTTTTCCTCGACCATGCACGCGAATTCAGCGGAGGAGAGGACGCCATCCCAAGCGAAAGATGAGCCAAGGCAGCGCTGTCCTTGGCTATGTAGAATAGTGATGACAAGCAATTGCTAGTCAGCTAGAGAAGAAGCCGGGGATAGTGGCGGTAGCCTCAAATCCGCGAGGGGATGGACCGATGGATAGGATGTGGTGGGTCGGGGCGGGCGGCGCGTCAAGGAGGATATCAAGGGAGGTCGACGGGTTGACGAGATCGACGAGTTGACGGCCGTAGAACAGAGCGCCGTAGAACAGAGTTAAGATCGATGGCGGAGGCCTGTCGTCATGGAGTAGAAGATAGAGGACGGGGCTAGCAGAGTGGAGATCGGTGCGAAGGTGTAGCCGAGGTTGACAGGGACGGGGCCCGCCCGAGCGTTAAAGCATACGTCGGCAACGTCCAATGGAGCACAATTGGAGATGGCGTAGAGGATGAAATGGAAATTGACGTGTGGATAGCACCGTGGGGAAGTAGGGGTGAAAACAGTACGGAATTTTTCCGGATTCCGGTCATGTTTTCGGAAACGGAATCGGCCGGTCGGAATTTTTTCGGAATTTCTCGGAATCGGAATCGAAAACGGAAATATTTTCTCGGAAACGGAATCGAATATGATAATAGCAGTTTCCGTCGGAACCCGGAAACGATCGGAAACATTCCGGAAAAATTGTCGGAATTTCCGAAGTTAAAAATCCCATAGATTCAATAGTCTATAATTCATCCCTAGCTTCCCAGCCCAACCCAAATCGCGGCGGCATCTACCCTAACCGGCTAACCCTATAGGAGAGAGACCGTCAGACTCAGAACTCAGACGCGACTCGCGAGTTGGAGGCGGAGCGGCGGCTGCGGCGTCCAGATCGCGGCATCGCGGCGCCGGCGTGCCCTCACGCCCACCGCCCGTGGCGCCGGCGCCCCACCGCCCACTGCTGGTCGCCTGGCCGGCTGGCCCCCGCCGTCCTCGCCCCCACCATCTCGCGCCGCCCTTGCTCTTCGTCGTTTCGCCGCCGGCCGCCGCCACCATCTCGCACCTCCGCCGGCCTGCTCGGTCCCCGCCATCTCAAGGCGCCGTCCCAGCGCGTCTCGCCGTTTCACCGTCGCCACCACCGCCGCCGACGACGGAACAACCACCACACCGACGAGGCGACGACGACACCACCACTGCAGTCTCTTCCTCACCGCCACCAACGCCGACGGCTCCTCGCCTCGCAGCAGCCAGCAGCCCAGCGGCAGCATCTGAGCAACCAGCAGCAGCAGGTGTATATAGTGATTGACTTTGCACTTTTACTAATGCTCTATCATTTTTTTTGAAGGCTAATGGAACGGAACAAGAGACAGAGACAGTAGAAGCGGAATGTTCTAATGAGGATGGCATTGCGCCAATGGATGTTTGAAGAAAATGTTGGTCAATTTAATTTTCAAGTTACATCTAATTTCAAGTTTCCATTTCAAATTAGTGTACTCCTGCTGCACAAGTGGATGAGATATGTTTGAACCATGTACTGATGTGTTTTGTGATTGAACTATGTTTTGTGATGAACTATGTATTTATAGGGTGATGTGTTTTGTGATTGAACTAAGTACTGAAACACTGATGGACTGATGTGCGTTGCTGTTCTGTGATGATTGATGAACTATTGCTGTTCTGTGATGATTGATGAACTAAGTGTTGATGGACTGATGTTCTGTTGTTGTTCTCAAACCCATTTCCTGGAGTGATAGGCTGATAGCAGTATAGCACCTGAATTTTGTATACCTTATAGGCTTATACCATTCTGTTTTGCTGTATTCTTTTAGAATATTTGTTATGCAAATTATATGAAGTTATAGAAGAATATATTTTGCTGTGAGGCTCAGTTTGAGGGGTTTATGTATTCCGATAAATTTTCGTTACCGTATCCGCGCCGGTTCGTTTTCGCTCCGTTTTCGGTTTCGATAATATTCGTTTCCGTTTTCGTTTCCGGGGTTTCCGATTTCGATTCCGATTCCGAAAAAAAATATGAAAACGAAAACGATAAAGGTTGTTTCCGTCCGTTTCCGTACCGTTTTCACCCCTATGGGGAAGAGCTCGATGAGGATGGGGGCCGTGTCTATGCACCAGAGGATGAGAGGTGGTTTTACCAAGATTATGGGTGAATATTTCTGGTGTTTAAGGTTGGGAACTCACCCCCCGTGCACGTAAAACAGAGCGACGCATTTTCCAATGATTGATGAAGCATTTACATTTTTTTTTCTGAAAAATAGATTAATATGATTTTCTAAAGCAACTTTCGTATATAATTTTTTTTTGAAAAAAAAACATACCGTTTAGTAGCTTAAAAAGCGTGCCCGCGAAAAACGAGCGAGATGGGTTTGTTACTCACAGGAAAAAACACAGCCTAAATCCGTGGTAAAGATAAGGGATGGTCAACGGACTTGTTCCCAAGCACAGATATCCTCGCGAAATCTGGCCCAAACTCCCCGAGCGAGCGTCGCGCATCTCTTGCTAGGCCGGTAGGCGCGGCACCTAAAATCGCCATCAAATTCGGCCACTGGGCCGCTACGAAACGGGCTGCGCTTCCACCACTGCACCACCGCTTTTTAGGCGGAATAAGTTCACTTTAGGTCCCTCTATTTGTCGCGCTGTCCGATTTTCATCCCTCGGCCGGAAAACCGGGTATGACGGGTCCTCGAACTTATGAAACCAGTGCAACGTAGGTCCTAAGGTAGTATTGCGAGCGGTATTGCTGATGTGGCATCCGACGTAGAAGGTTGACCCCGGTCTCACTTGCTGACTCGGATCGGCCGTTGGGAGGGGCATAAATAGGGCCAAAAAAATGGCGCGTGCCACGGCTCTCTCTCTCTCTCTCTCTCTCTCTGCGCTCAATCCGGAACCCTAGATCGAGATTTAGGGCGACGTTGGGGGCGAGCTTGGTGCGGCGGTGGGGTTGGTCGAGGCGGCCGAGGGCTCGTCCGGGTGCGCGTTGGTGGTGAGGAGGTGCACAAGCTGGCGGTGAGGAGGTGCAGGGATGGCGAGCTCAAGGAGTGACTGTTCATCGTCTTCTTCCTGACGACCGGCGGTCTCTCCCGTTCCATATCGGGTAGGTCCAATGGACTATCAACCACCGGTGTTCTGTGATTGCAAGGCGAAAGCGGCGAGGTGGATTTCGTGGAGCGTCGATAACCCTGGTCGCAGGTATTTCAAGTGTCGGGACGCCCGGGTAAGCATTTGAGTTGTGTTGATTTTGAATTTGTGGTTCGATTTTTGTTGGATTTGGTTGGTTTAGTTCTAGGGTTTACTGTTGCAGGCTGGGGGAAGTGATTTTTTTTTGCTTGGTGCGACGGGCCGACAAGCAATTTTCTGAGAGAGTTACTAAACGACTTGCGAGATACTGTGATGTCTCTTAGGACGGATAAGCGGCATTTGCAGCAGGAGGTTGAAGATTGCAGGGCGCGGTTGGAGGAGGAGAGGACAGGGTTTGAAGCAGTAAGGAAAGAGATGGTAGCAGTTAGGGAGATAGTCCAGGATAATCTAGCTAAGTTGACTGCTTTAAAAGCTAGGATTAGCAAGGTTGAGGTTGAGAGAAATGTGTTTGTGCTTTGTAGTGTGGCTTGTTTGTTCGCTCTGGCTGTGGTGTTGTGTGCCAAAAACTGAATGTTGGCAGGTATGAAAACTGCAAAATGGTAGTTTGTTTAGCATGGGGAGAAATGTATGAAATTTGGGATGTATGAACCTTTTCATGAATTATGCAGTGATGAATGTGTTGAGCAAAATGGTAGTTTGTTTATCATTGATTCACAGTTGGTGCCCAAACTGAATTTTGTGTTGAATCCCAGTCATGCAATTTATATTTGGTGAACATCAGGGCAGCTAAAAGTTAAGTACCTCTGTATCAAATATTAGTCAAGCAAAATGAAATGCATCAGAAACTTGCAGTTCAACAACAGTGGTCTAAGCTGAACCATTAGTGGCACACATCAAGTGGCATACATGATCAGGAGCCAAATTGTCTGGCAAACAACACAGGTAGGTAATAGTTTGCAAAATACAGGCATGAGCCTGATTGTCTGGCAATCAACACAACACAAAAAGCTAGATACATGGGCTACTTGCCCTGCAAGACCACATATTGCATAAACATAGCAGCAAACATTTCACAGCTTGTCAGACTCCCATGGCAACAGAAGAAGTGCTCCAACTGTCTTCTTTTTGGGTCTGGCATTTGAGGGTTCTTGAGCAGAAACACAAACTGAAGCTTTCCCTGAAGTAACCTTTACTGATGCACTTGTGGAGCTTATGTGTGACAAATTCTAGGATGGGTTGGCAGCTATGAACTTCCAATACTTCTGAGCAATCCTTGTGGCTGTCACCATCTTGTTATCCCTCCTTGGTGGGCAAGCATGCAAGCTCTCATATGTCACAATTTGCCAACTGTCAGACCTGGAGTTCTTTGATAGCAAACAGACCCATTGACAGGTATCCCAGTCACACTTGCCCCTGACCCTTTTCTGATCATCTTTTATAAAATTGATCACCTTCTTCTCAGCTAATGCATATTTTGTGATGGCCTTCTTGAACTGATTCTTGCAATTGAACTTCATGCCAAGTTCAAATGTGGGAACTCCATCCTTCTTCTTATATCTTGGATGTTTGTCCTGCCTTATCCTAACCTCCCCATCACTGCCAAGTTCTTCAACTGATTAGTCATCTTCACTTTCAGCATATGGGGTTTCATTCCCCTCATCTGCAGCTGCCTGCATACTTGGCTTGGACCTGTCTTGCTCAAAGAAAACAGCATCTAGGTCTTCTAACTGTCCAGTCTTAATCTTCTTCTTCACTTCTTTGTAATGCTTCTCTATTTCAGCAGCCTCTTCATCATCATCAGATGGACAAACATCACCAGGTATGTAGTCACTGTCAGATTCACTCTCTGAAGGTGCCAAGCTAGCCAGGGGAGCAGACTCAGGGTAATATACAACAAGCATCCTATCATCTTCATCACCTTCCATCACACTTTTACCCTTCAGCCCACTAGCATTAGTTTGATCACATTGAGCAGCTGTAGCTTTACATTGAGCAACATCTACCTCTACAGCCTCTTCACTTTCCTTATCACTTTCCACTTCCATATCAGCATCGGACTCACTATCATCATCTGAATCATCACACAAATCTACTACTTCTGGTTCCTAACCATACACTTCTGCCACCCCCCCTCCACAATGCAGTCAGACATGTATGTACATACAGTGTCATCCATTAAGATACGCAGCCCAGTCTGCATATCTTTTCATGGAAACAGCCAATGCAGAAGTGTTCCCACAATAAAATTGCAGTGTTCACGCAAATGTTCCAATATTCCACTCAATGTGACCTTATCCCTAGCTATATATGACAATGCCTCCACACCATCAACATATTTCTTCTCTCTACCTTCTGTCACAAATTCACCTTTTATATGAAACCTCACCACAAGAGTATCTAGCACGTCCATGGCTTCAATACCAATGGCCTACATGCATAGCGAAATAAAAAAAAGTGACTTCGGTGGACTATTATACTGTCATGAACATGTAAACAAAGCCAAATCACAACTTTTCTGGGGCCGAACGAATAAACTATTCCTAAATTGCACATATCCAAAATTTTAGTAAATAAACTACTCCTCAAGTACACCAAATCCAACACAACAACTACCTCAACCATACTTAAAAGCTAATCGTTGATCCCAAAACTATAAGCACCAATGCCGACTGAAAATTACATGTCCAACGCTGCATCTCTCTCCTGCACCCGCCGCTACGAGCTTATGCGGCTCCGCAGAGCTAGCCACCGCGCTCGCCTCCACGGGGCCAGCCACCGCACCGCCCTCCACGGGGCCAGCCACTGCGCCCTCCACCGGCTCCACTGAGCCCGCCAGCTCGCCCCCCGACGAGCACTCGGCCGCCTCGACCAACCCCTCCGCCGCACCAAGCTCGCCCCCAATGTCACCCCAAATCTCGATCTAGGGTTCTGGATTGAGTAGAGAGAGAGAGAGCAGTGGCAAGCGCCATTTTTTTAGGCCCCATTTATGCCCCTCCCAACGGCCGATCCGAGTCAGCAAGTGAGACCGGGGTCAACCTTCCACGTCGGATGCCACGTCAGCAATACCGCTCGCAATACTGCCTTGGGACCTCCGTTGCACTGTTTTTGTAAGTTCGAGGACCCGTCGTACCCGGTTTTCCGGCCGAGGGATGAAAATCGGACAGCGCGACAAATAGAGGGACCTAAAGTGAACTTATTCCTCTTACGCCGACACGACATGGAAATTAATTAACAGGCAGCTTCATTCCCGGGCCGAGAGCCCGTATTCACTTGTGTTGTGCTCTGGAGGGTGGTGGGCCGGCCAGGAGGCCGCGTGGATGCGCAAAGCAGCTCGCGGACGCGGGAGAGACTGGTTGAGCAAGGTGGTGGGTGATTGCGCCAAGAAATTGCGTTGCACCACATGTGTATCGACGTACGTCCGGCCACGTCTCGTCCTCTCTCCATCCTGCTTCCGGCCGGGGCAGGCGGCGGGTCAAGGAGGATATCAAGGGAGGTCGACGGGTTGACGACATCGACAAGTTGACGGTGGTGGAGCAGGGCGCCGTAGAACAGAGTTAAGATTGATGGCGGAGGCCTGTCGTCATGGAGTAGAAGATAGAGGACGGGGCTAGCAGAGTGGAGATCGGTGCGAAGGTGTAGCCGAGGTTGACAGGGACGGGGCCTGCCCGAGCGTTAAAGCATACGTCGGCAACGTCCAATGGAGCACAATTGGAGATGGCGTAGAGGATGAAATGGAAATTGACGGGTGGATAGCACCGCGGGGAAGAGCTCGATGAGGATGGGGGCCGTGTCTATGCACCAGAGGATGAGAGGTGGTTTTACCAATATTATGGGTGAATATTTCTGGTGTTTAAGGTTGGGAACTCACACCCCGTGCACGTAAAACGGAGCAACGCATTTTCCAATGATTGATGAAGCATTTACATTTTTTTTTCTGAAAAATAGATTAATATGATTTTCTAAAGCAACTTTCGTATATAATTTTTTTTTGAAAAAAACATACCGTTTAGCAGCTTAAAAAGCGTGCCCGCGAAAAACAAGCGAGATGGGTTGGTTACTCACGGGAAAGAACACAGCCTAAATCCGTGGTAAAGATAAGGGATGATCAGCGGACTTGTTCCCAAGCACAGATATCCTCGCGAAATCTGGCCCAAACTCCCCGAGCGAGCGTCGCGCATCTCTTGCTAGGCGGAATAAGTTCATCTGATGTCCCTTAACTTTACACTGAATCTGATTTTCGTCCCTCGATCGGAAAACCAGACACAACGGGTCCCTCAACTATTAAAACCGGTGCAGATTAGATCCCTCGGCGGTTTTAAGAGCGGTTTTGGCTGACGTGGCGCCTATGTGGCTAATTTAACTCGGTCTTTGTCCGACGTGGCATTGACGTGGCGCTTACGTGGCAATTCGACCCGTGGGACCCACATGTCAGTCTCACATAGAAAATAATAAAAAAAATCATGGGTCCCACATGTCAGTCCAACTCACCCCCTCTTCTTCCTCCTCTCTCCCCATCTTACTCTCTTCATCTCCCTATCTCTGCTCTCTCCAGACGCCACGGAAGACAACGGCACGCGGTGGCGCGCGGCCGGCGGCAGGAGAGGAGGGAGCAACGCGCAAAGACCGGCGAGGCGGGCAGGGAGGGAGGATGCAGGGAGGCCGGCGATGGCCGAGCGCTGTGGGTGGGGGCTTGATGGCGACGAACGAAGGGAGAGGTGCACAGCCGACGGCGGCCAACGGGAGAGGGAGCGGCGACCGCCCTCCGCCGCAACCTGCCACCACCACCGAGCTCGTCAGCGACCGCCCACCGGAGCGAGGAGGACGACGGCCGGCAACGGGTGAAGAGGACGAAGGCGGCGGTCTAGAGCAGAGGTCGGAGGAGGGCCCCCAGCCGCCAGGATGGCGCTTGATCCGTCGCGTTTCACCACCACCGAGCTCGTCAGCGGCAGCCCACCGGAGCAAGGAGCTTCCGCTTCCCCTTCCCCCATTGACGCCGCCGCCACAGCAGCTGAGGCGTCGCTCCCCATGCCACCGCTTCTGTGGCGCACGCCGGATGCGGACGGGGACGCCATGGCCGTGGACGCGGACGACGTCGACATCGACCTCGGCATCCTCGGCGACTCCCAGGGCCCCCGCGCCGCCGCCACTATCGGGTGGAGCAGCGCACGGCGGACGTCCTCCTCCTCCGGCTGCCACCGCCACGCCTCCCCGCATGGCTGCATCTCCTCCTCCTCCGACGGCCATCGCTGCACGCCGCCCCTTCTCCCCGCCGGCCACCGCCCTTCTCCCGGCCGCCATTGCCGGATCTCGATTGCCGGCGCTGCTCCGGGGGGACCTGCCGCCGCCCGGGTCATCTGTTCCGCCCACCGCCGTCGCCGATCCCCTTTTATCGCCCCGGCTTTCTCCTCCAACTCGCTGCTCTCGCCGGTGGGCGCCGGTCTCGCCGCCCCCTCCAGCTCGCCACTCTCGCCGGAAGAGGAGAGGGGAGAGAGATGAAGAGAGGGAGATGGGGAGAGAGGAGGAAGAAGAGGAAGGGTGAGTTTGACTGACATGTGGGGCCCACGATTTTTTTATTATTTTCTATGTGAGACTGATATGTGGGTCCCACGGGTTTTATTATTTTTCCGGGTCGAATTGCCACGTAAGCGCCATGTCAATGCCATGTCGGATGAAGACCGAGTGAAATTAGCCACGTAGGCGCCACGTTAGCCAAAACCGCCCTCAAAACCGCTGAGGGACCTAATCTGCACCGGTTTTGATAGGTGAGGGACCCGTTATGTCTGGTTTTCCAATCGAGGGACGTAAATCGGATTCGATGTAAAGTTAAGGGACCTCAGATGAACTTATTCCCTTGCTAGGCCGGTAGGCGCGGCACCTGAAATCGCCATCAAATTCGGCCATCTTGGCCGCTACGAAACGGGCTGCGCTTCCACCACTGCACCACCGCTTTTTAGGCCCTCCTCCGTGTTGTCCGATTCTCCCAATCCCACCCCCCCACCGCCGCTTTGTGTGCGTCTGCGCCTGCGTCTGCGCCACCGTCACCTTCGCGGCCGCGCCGGCCGCCGCCGCCGCCAGCCGGTACACACCACCGCAAGGTGCGTTCCTTCCCCCGTGCCCTCTCTCTCTCTGTTCCTCCTGCCCCGCGCTTTGCTGTGTTTCGCTGGGGAGACGATGGATGTGGCTGAATCGCGCGACGTGCGTGGCCGGCGTGCGGATAGCTAGTTACTCTGGAATTAGGGTTTTCCGGCCTAGCGTCGTCGCTAGGATCGATTCCGTGTCGGGGGCGCGGGGCTGAGGTTCGTATGCTGTTGCTGCTCGCTGGATCGACTGGAATCGTGCAATCTGTTATCCAACTGCTAGCGAATTACCACTTCTGTCGCCGAGTATTCGTGGCAGAAAACTAGAAATTCGGGAACGCATATGAGGTTTATGGGATCCAGAAGTCTTATAACGGGATATTTGTTTGTGGCATTGCCGGTTTTCCAGGGGGTTTGTTCATGATGTTGCCTCAGGCAAGATGATAGTATATGATTACATAGCCCTGCTGCCCTGTGCTACTCTGTGTTATTTAGGTTATATAGTAAATACTGCTGTGGGGTTTTACAATGGGTTCATGGTCCGCATTCAATGTCGGGATGTTAGTTTGTTTGTCTTCTTAGAATGTTCAGCTGATGACGTGTTCATTCGACCAAGATTCGTAATTGATTGTCGCTATTCGTTATTACCAGAATTCGCACCATATGATTCCTACAGTGTTTGCTTTTGTAACGTCCGCGTTCAGGTTAGGATGAGGCGACAAGGACAGGGGCAGTACGGTGGAGGAGCAGACATAAACTCCATGGTGGCTGCTCAGTTGCATCACTACCAGACACAACAAAGGGTTCAGCAACACCCTGATAATAACTACCCTGGAAGAGATCCTGGGAAAGCTGCTGAGGAGCAGCAGTATAGCGCCCCAAAGGTGAGGCAGAGTCAATGGGATCGAGGTGGTCCAAATGCCCCGAATCAGATTCCAGCGTATGCATACAATGAAGGTATGAACTACTACCATTGGTTATTTTGTGTGTTTTTTTTCGTTGGAATAGCATGCTTCGTTCGCGCCCAAATATAAGGGGTATTAATTTCTGTGGCATAATTAATTTTGCATGGCCAACCTATATTTCGCAACAGAAATAGTCGTACAGGATCGGTTATTAAATATTAAATGTAACAATGATTAGGCAAATCCTAAGTAGTGCTTCTTGGTTGCCTTATATAAGCATTGTAATAAAAGTTGGATCAGTGAGGAAACTGTCTGAGCTTTCGGTTTACCGCGTTCGGTAAATGGTTATGTATATTGTACCATGTGTATTCCATTTCCAACACAATGAGTTGGTTGGATGGTCACGACGGACTTCTGCAACTCGCAGTCCTGGGATCGATCCCCCACCAACATTTCCTTTTGAGGAAATTTTTGGATTAAGAACGATGTTGTGGGCCTTTGAGGAGAGATCACTTCCGTTTGTTAATAACGATAGAGCCCAATTCTTCCTAGCTAGCCGGTCCAACTGGTCCTGGTTAAATTATGGGTTCAACGCGCTACCGCAGAACTGCTCGGTTCAAAGCGGTTCGATTTCCATGAGTGGTCTTTCTTTTTCGTCTTTTTCTAGTGAAACGACCAATCCAGTCCATCCTTTGTCATCCATGCTTATGAAAACTTGCATTGACCTGTATTATGCAGGTCAAAGTGCTCAGGGTGCACAAACCTTTTATGATGGACAGAGATCTGATTTAAAGGTTGGTCTAGAAAAGCAGCCCAATAAAGAATCGAGGGATCGGCCTCGTAATGATAGGTTTGAAGCAAGGCGCGAGGATTATAATCTCCCTCGTACATTTGAAGGTCTAGAGCAGAATTTTCATGAAGACATTGTGATCCTATCCAAGGAACTACATGATGCAGAGGATGCTGAAAACGCCAGGCACAGGGAGGTATGATAAATTATTTTCTAGATAGTTTATTACTACATGATTCTGCCTTGTTCTCCTTACCTACCAAGAATAGCGTACCTGCAGCAATGCAGTATATACTAGTAGTAGTGGTTCAATATTTTAATCAGTTTTTCTCTCTATTATTAATCGTCCTTGCATCCTACTACCAACAGGAAACATTTCTCCATTCCTCAAGAGGATTAAATATTTTATCCTTTATTTCTTATCACTGATTGAGTTTTGCTTCTCACTGGTTGAGTTACTGTTTGGTATTATTCATCAATGTTTGGTGAGATCAAACTTGAGGAATAATTGCACGGGGTATATTGGAAAACATACAAATATACAATTTAACTGGAAGCTCAGGAAGATTGTATTTTTTTCTCTTATAAGCAGGTCAGCTAATGTGCATTCCTGTTTCGTATAACAGTATCAGCACACACTCCGCATTATGCCAATAATTCATACTTATTAACGAGAATTAAGTTGTGTGTGACACAGTCCACGTCTTTGGAAGGGAACTGGAGAGAATTTACATTTAGTTCTCACAATTAATATCAAAAGATGGTATAGGTTCCTGAAACAAAAAATATATATATAAATCATTATGATAGTTTCATTATGGTAAAAAAAACTGAATGGGTTTCTGCTCACCTTCGCACAGCTTAAAGCTTTTCCAAATATCCATTGGTTTACCCTACCATCGCATTTTATTTGATCATAATGCTTGGACTCGCTTCTGTTGCTAAAATTGAATTGACTGATGTTTTGGTGGCTTTGCTCAAAATGCGCCCTCTGCACTTCATTAAAGGCCAAAGTACACTCATGCATTTTTCGCTATGCATGTTGTCCTGTTTAATGTGCAATTTCTAAATAAGTTTTTGCGGGCAACCCCTGTTGATACTGGTCTTGTCACAGCCCCTGGATGTTTGTTATGGAAGCCATATTATGTACGATTCACCAAGCTGTTGCTGGCATTTATACTAGTTTTGATTTCTTCTTGTTTAGAAACTTTCTTTTATTCTATTTGCAGTAGCAGTGTGGTATTGCAGTATACCAGCATATAAGGCTAGTTCAGTGAAATATTAGGAAGGAGTCAAATATCTGTTTGGACATAGGAGATCAGAGATAGAAACCAAATGTGTTTCCATAACGTTAGAGATTAGTTTCTTATGGGTGAAGTTGGTCCTCCCTCTTCCTGTATATAAATAGACCCTATGTAGTCCATTATGAAGCAAGTGATTGAGTCTCTAAAGTTAGTTCGATAAACCTTAGAGCCTCTCTTAGCTCAACAGGGAGGAGCCCTGCCGGGTGGTAATTTTGAGGACGAGTGTCCTATCCCTTGATATTTGGATCCTTACCATAGTCAGTCCATAACACAATATACATTATTAGTTAATATGTTGAAGACAAATGCTTCATTCCTCTTATTTTTTTGTGTGCAGAGATTGAATGAAATAAATGCACAATACCAGGAGAAACTGTTGGCACTTCGAGCTCGCCAAGCAACCTATAGAGAAGAATTCTTACGCAAGGAGTCTCAGGCACGCCAGCAGCAATACCAACAGGCTAGCATGAGCAGTTATGCAAACAATGTAAGGCCCGGGGAGACTCACGGCTATACTCCAATTGCAGCAAAACCGCCGCCGCCTCCACCTGCTGCTGCTGCTACAGCTGGTGGTACTTATGGAGAAGCTCATCGGGGTTATACTTCTGCCCAGTATGACAACTTCAGGGAGCGTCCAGACTACCCAGAGTTCCGTGGTCGTGGCCGAGGTGAAGGTCATGTTCTTGAGCACCGTGGTCAATTCCCTGGTGGTCGTGCTTATAATTCTGGTGGCCGAAGATTCTAGAGATGGCTTCTTCAAACACAGCCAATTGGCTCATCTTTCTTGATCTCAGCTTGGTGCGAAATGCGAATTGCATTAGATGCTTGGTTGCAGTCTCGTTTAAACCTATATACATGGAAAAGCTGTTTACAATTTAAACTGCTGGTATGCAACCATCAAACAACACCAGATGTCACCGGCACTGTTGTGCTTGTTGTTTCCACCTACAACCCTGTAATTCTGCTTCTTTGTAACTTGGTAGAGAAAGATGAGAATAATTTATACCATACTCCCATGGCTTCTCTGTTGTTCATCCATATCATGCAATGAGAATAATATCAGGGAGGCAATTCTGCGAGCAGAATGTTCCAAGAGAAGCAGTTCAAAACATTTATGAGGACAATACTAACTGAAGTTTCTGAGGTGTACTGCTAAGGTAGCACAACAGTTTAACACAAGCCACGGGCTCGCAGTTGGAGCAAAGGAGCAACAGCTAGCTGTACAAAAAGCAAGATATATTACACATTATGTTCTCACGGATTCAGAAAGCCTGTCCTCTGATCAAGTCCCTCATCACTCTAGTTCCTGTTTTTAACTCCTATCAAAGTGTCTCACGATCAGGATGCTCCAGGAGAGGTAGAGACTGGTCTACTGGAGACATTTGACGACACCAGACAGCCATAATTCTACTTGGCTGCTTTCTTTGCACCTTGAAGCTGCTCCAGCGCGGTCACAACCTGATCCATGCCCGGCCTGCATCGTGCATCCATTGACAGGCACTGCACCGCAAGCCCCGCGATCTTCTGCGCAGCTGGAAGCGAATACTGGGATCCCAGGCGTGAGTCGAGGACATGGATGACCCTCCTCTTGTTGGTGATGTAAGGTCTAGCCCACTCCACCAGGTTGTGCTGCCCCGGAGGCCGGTTCTTGTCCAGGGCGCGCTGCCCGGACAGCAACTCCAGAAGAACAACTCCGTAGCTGTACACATCGCTCTTCGCGGTCAAATGGCCTGCGCATAATGTGGGTGAGAAGAACACAAGGTACCTTCAGAAAACCGCTGTTGACCTTTACTGTTAGAGTATGTGCACAAATGTAGATTTAAAGAACATGATGCTGCAATTAGTATCAGGACTAGTGTGTTGACTTAAGTGGTAGGAAAACGCAAGTAGGCACGGCTTCTAATTTTATGGTTGTTCATGCTGAAACCAGCTGGAGAATCTTAGTTTATCTTCTTTTTTCGGGCTATCCAACGACGTGGCAAGCATAAAGTACCATTTTGATTAGCAGAATTGGTCACCTCGATGTTTGCCCCTTTACAGGATGTCATGCATCATTCTTGAGTATTTAATTCTTAAGCGTCACATGGATGGATCAACAATTGTCAATCTTAAAGGGATTGCTCAGAGGCATCAATCATGTTATTTGCTACTGAAAAGAAATGTTTTATACCTCTAAATCGTTATAGAGAAATCTTAAATAAAATGCACATCTAAGCACACTTAGTAAACATAGCATATAAAACTTAAGTGAATCTAGTGGATATGGCATGCACACCATGAAGTATCCATGTCTTGCAATGAAGATTCTCTCTCCATAACAAACGACAAGTCTTATGACCCACTGTCAGCAAGGCATCTCAGTATGTTGCAAACAATGTTGTTACTGAACATAATTACCAGCAACAGTTATGACCCAGTGTCCTTTTGTCATTCATGCATGAATCTAAGATGCAGAAAATCATAGAGACACAGTAGTAGTATATGGTTTGTTATATGTCATGTTGCAAAGATCACCTGTCGCGAGATATTCAGGGGCAGCATATCCTTGTGTCCCCATGACCCTGGTTGAGACATGGCTTTTGTCACCACTAGGACCATCTTTTGCCAATCCAAAATCAGAGAGTTTTGCATTGTAGTCCTGTGTGCAGCCAAAGGGCAAAAACAAACATTTAGATCGAATCTGATTTGACTTGCACATATTGCGTATGTAAACCAATCTGCATGCTCACTCACCGAATCAAGAAGAATGTTGGATGTCTTGAAATCTCGGTAAATAACTTTGGCCTGATCACTGTGCAGGAAAGCAAGCCCCCTGGCAGCCTCGAGCGCGACCTTCATCCGCAAATTCCATGGGAGAGGCTGGAAGTGTGATCCCCCTGCAGCACCATACATAAGCATTGCCAATCTTTCATTCCCACGCACACAAAGAATGAAAACATATGATGAACATGACACAAAAACGTGGTGGACTGCTTACTCCTGAAAAGGTGGTGCTCCAAGCTGCCTCTCGGCATGAACTCGTACACCAGAAGCCGCTGTTCGTCCTCGAAGCAGTAGCCGATGAGCTTGACAAGATTTGGGTGGGAGAGCTGCCCAAGGTAATTCACCTCAGCCTGCAAGATTACAGTTTTTTTTGGGGGGGACACAAACAGATCAGTTAAAATCACTTTCAGACAGCGCTGACGCAGGCAGCAAGAATTGAAAAAACTGAGGAAAAAAAGAAGAAGCAGAGGCACTGACCAGCCATTCCCTGTGCCCCTGGAAGCTGTCAAGCTTGAGCTTCTTCACGGCGACGATCATGCCGGTGCCCGGCTTGACGGGCGTCAGCGTTCGCTCATCGATCCACCCCTTGAACACCGAGCCGAACCCGCCCTCCCCAAGCAGGCTGTCCGGCCGGAAGTTCCTCGTGGAGCCCTTGAGCTCGCCGAAGGTGAACTTGCGGAGGTTCGACGACTGCAGGATCTCCGTCTCGCTCCGGGGAGTCGGCGGCACCGACGACGACGCCGACGCCTTGGTGCCGAACGTGCTGGAATCGGCCCCGTTCTTGCTGCTGTTCTTGGAACCTGTCCCTGGATTGCAACCACGACGGTCAGCTCACAGCTCACTCAGCATAGAAACTCTGCTTCTCTTTCCTAAAGAAATTCTCGTGTGAAGCAAACCATTCTTGGAAGTAGCTCTGCTTTCTATATCTAGACAAAGCCTAACTCGCCTAGCTCAAAATTGTGAAAAAAAATTGTCATCACTGGACAATTGATGATAAATCCCAAAGTGGAACCTCACTAAAATTGCTCTTTTACTATAAAGAGAGCAAAAAAAAAAAACAGAGAGATACAAAATTGATACCAAACTGAAATTTTGACTCTTTGTAGAGGAACCCTGACTCCCAAGAACAGAACCAAACCAAACCACCGCAAAAATCCACCAAAAGAAAAGGTAAGGCAGGCACCAACACTGCAACACATTGATTTGGTGCAACACTGCAAAAACCAAGAAACAAGGGCCTGGCACCTGACGAGTTGGGAGCACTGAACGAAGGGTTGATCTCGGCGTTCCCCTGCACGCCGGCGCAGTTCCCCATCACGAGCACACCGGCGCCGCCCGATCGACGTGCGTGCGTGCGGCGGCGGCGGCCGGCGTTCCTGCCGGTTTTCTGTCGGGGTTCTTGCAGACTAGCTACGAGCTTAGACTAGAACAACACTGGGTTTCTGACTGGGTAGAACGAAGCTCAAGGCCGGTGTGGCTTTGTGGTGGTGTCATCCCAGCGTCCCCTTCTCCTTCTCCTGCTTGGCTAGGTTGGAAGACCTATCATTGCTGCCCGCGAGTGAAGGGTGGTGGGGGCAGGAGGGGGAGCCGTGGGGTCAGTCGCCTCATTGATGAAGGAAAGAGAGCAAAGGGAAGGCTTTTCTTCTTCTTCTCCCACTTCGCTTCTCTTCCTTTACAGTGATGTTGTTGCCCTCTCTTTGGCGTCCATGTGCTTCGCCGGTGATTTCCTCCTGCAATTTCTGCATTTCCAGCGAAAACGATCAACCACCCTTTTCACAGAAAAGAGAAAAAAACATTCTATGCTACTCTCTTCGTCCCAGAATATAGCAACATCGGATGGACGTGTCAATTGTCTAGATTCGTAGTCCTAGAAAACAGGCTTATCCAGAATACATTTCATTCGATTTTAGGTTCTTATATTCTGGAGACGGAGGGAGTATTATCATTTCATTTCACTTTCTCATTTAGTAACAGGGACGGATCAAAAAAAAGTTAGGGGGACTCAACATACCGAGTACACCGATATAAACATATAATCTCAATATTAAACTATGCTAAAATGCTATTATGATACCTTTAGCATCTCCTATCTTATCAACTATGATGAAAAAATTGAAGAGAAGGCTTAGGGTGGTATCATAGGTTTTGTGGGTATAGGGGGGACTTGAGTCCCCCTGCACCCACGTTAGATCCACCCCTGTTTAGTAATCTGGCTATCTCAGCGGACTAGAATGCAAGCGTGTTTTCCTTACCATAACACGGTCTTCTTCTTCTTCTTCTTCTTCTTCTTCTTCTTGAAGCTAACTTATATATATTCAGCACAGCTCATTTAGCACTTTGATGTACTCCTTCTAGGACAATTACAGATGAATAAACACATGCTAAACATCATTATCGGAGATCCTTTCATCATTTATTGATGTTTTCCTTACATCGTTCTGCGAAGATGTATCCGTTTATCCAAGCAAATGTATAGTACGGGTTTTTCAAAGTCTTTTGCGTAAAACATCACGCAAAAGGGATCGCATGCCGAACCGTGATATGCCGCTGTTCGGCTGAAAGGATGTTGTACGTGCGAATAGCACCCGCGAGAACAGTGATTGGGCATTTGATTCCGTTCTGAACTCTGTCTTATCTGCCAAATCAAATCCGAGACGTCCAACGTTTACTATTAGAAAGAGACTCGTACGTGGTAACTACCTGCATATTAATACGTCGATCTGATCACCAAAATCCGCTGCGTTCGGTGCGAACCTACGACACACATGATCATCTGCAGCAAGCAGCATCAATTATCTACGCCTTTTTGTATTGCGTATGTTTCTCAATTATCTGGCAGCATTGTCAACCAACCCTAGTTAAGTACTGACCCAGTGGTCAACAGTCACCTAATGAAAGCGCAGGCGCCTGAAGAGCCAGTGGAGCACGCAAGAGCGAATGGCGATGCAATTTAGTGGCAAAGCGAGATACACATCGATCGTACACACATTATAATCCTCGATCACCTAGGGCCTGTTCAGATTCCTGCTAAAAATTTTACACCATGTTACATCGAATATTTGAACACCTGCATGAAATATTAAATATAATCTAAAAAAATAACTAATTCCACATATTACGACTAATTTTACGAGACAAATTTTTTAAGCATAATTGCTTCATGATTTGATAATGTGGTGTTACAGTAAATATTTGCTAATGACGGATTAATTAGGTTTAATAAATTCGTATCACAATTTACAGAAGGATTCTACAATTTATTTTATTATTAGACAACGTTTAATAGTTTAAATATATGTTCGTATATCCGATGTGACACTGCAAAAATTTTCACCCCTAAACACAGCCCTAGCTAGCTTAAGTAGTAAATCTGTATCTGCAAATCGGGGACGAGTTGGTTGGGAATTGGCGCGTCGCTTTCGGTGACGTTGGAGAGAGAGTCCACATTGCGGTTGTGGCTACCATACCATTGCGTTAGTCCAAGCCAAACAGCCTCGCGCGCACTCAAGGATTGACCCCTGATGCGTGAGCCTTTTTTGCTGATTGTTTCTTATTTTATTGTGGAGATGGAAACATGTGTGTGTTGTTTAGATGGTGTAGCAGCATACATAAGTATATGATATTAGTACTGCTGGATTCGATTATAATTTCTATCTACCAGCTCAGTACGCAGTCAGTATTACTAGCTAGTACTAGATTCAATTGGGAACAGCTATATGGTGGTCCATTGTTTTGTTGGCAGAGTATCTCACTTATCCTAGAGCATTGTATTATTCATGGAACTGCTTTACAAGAGTCAATGTTTTTTTATTTTTGAAGTCGTCGATGTCTGACCTTCATCTGACCTTCTCGACCAACATATGTAGGGGGGCAATCTAGCTAGCCGCAATCTGATTGATGCTTGCAGTGGGATGCATATAGGCGGCAACTATGGCGCATTAGTGTTGGCGGAAGGAGGTTTAGTGGGAAGATCGGAACAGAGCGTAATCTACCAATGCAAACATGGAGATCTAAAACATGGAGCGATGCACGCAATCGGTGTTCGATGAGACAGAAGGTGAAGCTCATTGGTGATTATGGCGTATCGGATGAGAGACACTCATGAGAAAATTGCTTTTCTTGTGAGGCAAAATATGTCGTCATATAATATAACCGCATATGCATATAAGGAGTAATTCTGATGAATAATCCGGATAAACACCTGTCCAGATTTATTCCCCAAAACTATTTCTTTATGACAAATGAAAAATGAAGTATATTTGTATGGACATTATAAAAACCTGTCCTTTAGCACATCGTTACAAAACTCAGCTCTGAATATCAGATAAACCATATCTATCCAGGCCGAAATGTAAACCACCATGCTACATTGATAATATATACTACAGACCTGTAGTACTTCATTCCTGCCAAAATATAATAATTTTTAGTATCTAGTATTTGTCTCAAAATATAACTAACTTCTTCATCTACATTATATTATCTTCTTAACCAATCAAAAAACATTTCTTCCTCACCTAATTTCTCCACGCAATCAATCACAACTTTATCATATTTAATTACACATACTTTCTTAATATTTGTGTTTATTTTTAAAATTTATAATTTAGAACGGAGAGAGCACTGCTCACTACTCAGTACTCACGGAATTACTTGTAGATCTCTCGATCAGAAGAATCGCGCGTGAACCGTGAAGCCCAAGCGTGGCGTCGGATCAGACAATGACGTACTACCGGATCGGCGAAAAACCAAAGACGATCCAGAGAGCGCGGGCCATCGTCACCCCCACCCCCGCCGTTGTATACCACGGTACCACCTAGCGGAGCCGAGGTAACGAACCACCAGAAATTAAACAAACATGCATGCCCTCGAGCTCGCGTCGAGGGGGGCGCAGCGATCTCATCTGCTGCTGCTGCTCCGGCAGGATTGCAGTAACCACCACGGCACCACCACCACCACCACCAGCAACAGCACGTACCGTGTGGCGTCAGGCCGGCTGCCGATCTGTCGTACGTACAGTACGTCGCTAGAGTGTCATGGGTTTCAGGCAATTCTGCATCCCTGCATGCACGCTCGTTGCTAGCTGGCCGTGGGGTCAAGCAAGATTGATGGCCCGTATCCGGGCACCTAGGATCCACTGTTGCTTTCAGGCGAGAGACCCCCCCCCCCCCCCCCCCCCCCCGCGGTCAGCTACCAGCAGCGTCGTAGTATACGTCGTCATCGTCTCCACTGAGGCACTGACCACTGCTGCGCCATAAAATTCGATCAATCGACGCACTGCGCTGCTAGTAGTTCCTCGGCAGCAGTTGAATCATTCGTCAAGCGTGATCTGAACGCCGCTGATATCTGATCTTCTCTCCCGTCATTCCCATGAAGTGAGTGAATTGGAGAGCGGTGCTGAAAGCCTGAAACCACCGGCCGTCATGGTGATGCTGCACGTACGTAACGCGTACGCTGGGAGCATAGTTGGATTCGTTATTCGTACGTGTGTATACTGTCGCTGCCAACTGCTTGATTACCAACAGCGCTCTGTCAAAACACAGAATAATAGTATTTGATCTAGAACCAACACTGCACGGATTTTTTTTTTCGTTCAGTTAATTTTGCACGGATCGATCAGGATACGGAGTAGTAAATCAGTACGTACCTTTCTTCGTCCATGGAAAGGTGCACTCATGAGTCGAGACCACCAGTAAGCCCACGTAATTAACAAGAGCGTGACAAGCGGGAAAATTTGACCCCCAAGAGCAGCTAGCCCGACGGTGACAAGTGACAACCATTCTACTGTTCTAGTAGACGACAATGCAATCCTTTCCCGTTCCAAGGGGGAACCGAGATCGACGATGGATCGTTTGACCACGGCGCGTGTACATTCCCGGTCTCCGAAGAAAATTAACGAGTTACCAGTATAAACGAAAAGACAGGTGACACTGCACTGCACATCGGCGCCACCGTCTCGCCGAGACGCCGAACTCCTGGCCAGTCGCCCAGTCGGTCCATGTAGAACCAAACCGATCAATCGAACGAACGACGCGCGTTTCGTACTTGCCTCTCGCTCGCGGCACCGCGGACACGGCCCATAGCGCGCGGAGCGGAGCCTGGCCCGCGCATGCGGGGGAACGCGAAACGTGACGGGCCGCAGCAGCGGGAGGAATGGCCGGTTGGGTTGGGCGCTGCCGCCGCGTAGGCTCCACCGCTCGAGCGTTCTCGGACGGGAATAAGTCCACTTTGGCTTCCTCAAATACTGCTTCAATCTTATTCGTACCCATCAAATGTAATACCAAATATCTTAACCCTCTAGCTATTGAAGGTTCAATTGGACTCCCTCATCGTTTTTTAAGCAGGTACAATAGCAGACTATTAGCCAGCTACAAACATATTCTAATGAGATAAAAGATGAGATAGAAAAACAGCGGCCTACAGATCTGTAGCTAGCTGCAGCACAGACTCCAAGATGCAATGTGTGTATGACAGGTGTGACCACATACTAATAGTATAGTAAGTAATTATTGTATTAATTGACTATGGATGAATTAGAGCTAGTAGTGGGCTATACTATTAAACTTGCTCTTAGAGTAGTTTTCGCTGGCATCACTCATTGACTTGGTCAACCTTATCTGACATGGCAATAGTCACAAAGTAGAAGTGGGCCCATATGTAAGTGACTAGAGAAAAAAACCATGGCCCCACTT